AAAAATGGGCGTGGCACCGCCCACTTATGATCACATATATGTATCTCGGTAACCGTTCTACCAATTTGTACCAAACTCGGTGTGGTTATTGTGCTTGCCACATAGAAGCAAAACGTTGAAAATTATTGAAATCGAACTAAAATTACGGCCGCTTTTCAATATTTCGAAATTTAAGGACGCTAATTTACTCATAATGGATACATCCCGGTTTACCATGTAGCGGTAGCTTTCGGAAAGGTGAAAAACATATATTTAATACTTGCGCCGGGTATTTAATGTTCGGCTCCGCCCGAACTTAGAATTTCTTACTTGTTTGATTTCCTTTTCACTTTGTTTTCCTTCATTCAGCTATCTTCGAAAAACAACTGATAGCAGGCAATGCTGCACGTTTCCGCAAGGGTTGCAGCATATGGATTTTTCGTTTTTCGTATCTTACTCTCCCAAAGAGAGAAACTTACTAAGTTAAGCGCCAACAGAAATTAGCAAACATTTGCAAGCTTCACTGCCAGCTGGCGTCCACGGTTGCATTTCAGGACCTATACGTATATTTCTTCTTATTCTGACTTTCTTCGACATACGCTTCAATTTCTTTGTGGAAGTCACTGCCGGATTTCCTATATCGACAGTGGTGTCAACTACGTTCCGATTACGAATACAGCTTTTTCAGCCGAGTACCTTTTAAATGTTTGGAATTAAATAAATTAATTGAATAAACAAATAGATTGTTCTTTTTTAAATTTAACGAACTTAGTGATTCAAATCAAAAATTTTCCCAGCACAAATTTGCAACTTCCCCTCCAAATGAAATGTCGAAATTGTGCTCTCTCCTTGTAAGTTTCAAAAGTTTTTTGCCCAAACGAACGCGGTAACAATTGGTACCAGCTTGCACAAGTTTTTTGCATGGCGAACAGAACTAAGGGCCGACTATTTCGTGCAAAAATAAGAAAACTCTAATTTTCATTATCCATATTTCCGGCGTGAGAAAATTGTTTGTGTTGTTTTTGGAGCCCACCGGCTAATATGTAATGAAACTAAAAAAGAAATAAAAGAGTATTAACCTGGCCTTAATTTGACTCAAGGAAAAGCAAGTATGTAGAACACTATAAGAAAAAAATGCACAAAACTATTGCCTGAAGGTGGCAAAACACAAACCTATTAAAACAGTAAAAGTCGAATATCTTTATGTAAACACATATCGGACACCGTCACGTTTGTTAGAAATTAATATATTAAATTAAATTAAATAATTTCAAAAATGCTAAATTTTGAGTTGTGCCTCTTTTGAAGATTTAAAACGTTTTGGTTAAGAGATTACTATGCATACATACATACATATCTACGAAAGCAATAAATGTGCTAAAGCTAATATAGCAAGTTAATAGCTGCATACATACATATGTATTTTGAAAAGTTAATAAAATTGTCTTTAGATACAACTTTTTTGCAAATCCATGAAGTAAAATTTTTCAAATGTTTGTCAGACCCTCGGTTTTTTCGCGTCGCACACGATTCTTATACTACCAAGCATCATTAATTTACCTAATTTATTTATGCTTCCTTATGACGATAAGCATGTGCTAATGCATCGAGACGCTTTCAGAAACACGAAATTACAATATCGCTAAAAATCTCATTAAGTTATGTTCTATTTCTGCTTTTGTCACCATCCACTAATGTTTTCTGCTGCATTATGTTTGGCTTAACAGATTCATATATGCTTGAGATCAGACATCGTCGAAAAGACCCCGGGGAGGTGATCCTATACGCTTTTCAGTATCGTCTCCATAATCGTCGAAGGTGACGCCACTATTACCGAGGTCGCTAGTGCCTTTAAAGCCAACCTCCACATTTTTGCTGACACCAAAGCGTTCATTAATTTCTTCAGACAGACTGCGTGGAACTCCCAGGGGTGGAGCACGAGTGTTTAACGACGATGAAACAGTCGCATAGCTAAAACTGTCCCCATCACATAACAGACCATCCGTTGGTGAACGTAAATAGCCAACGGCCCCAGCTTGTGCGTTGGGTCCTGCTAAATTACGATACTTAGCAATATATTCGTTTGTCACAGATGTGAGATCTCTTCGTCGTGATGTGGCTTCAGTGGAGCGTTGTCGCCGTCGCTTTTCTCGTGCAATTAGATCTTTACCTTCTTGTACCAACTCAGTGGCAATAGTTTCATTTTGAAGAAATTGTTGAAATCCCATAGCGTTCAACGCTCGACTCCCCAAACTAAACCAAGTTGTGAGGCAAAATGCCAACATACACATTGGAAAGTAAATATTAAAGCCGTCCGAGATAATGCCTAAAACATCCATATGACCCATTATTTGGGTATAGTAGGTTTCGAGAATACGCTAAAAGTTAAGAATAAATTAATACTTTTAGTTAAAAATTAAATCAAGCTTACCTCTTTAATTATATGCGAATCCATGTGAATTAATCCTAGAAAATTTAGGCACATGGGTGGCGTCAGTCGGCACAACAACATACCGCTAAATATCAAACTATGCTCATTGGTTTGATGATGAGGAGCCAAATAATATAAATTCAGGAAACGTATTCGGAGAATCGTAGAGTAAGTGCAATAAAAGAGATAGCAAAGCACAGTCATGGAAAATAGCTCTATTGTGAAGAAGTCGTAACTATACTTGGCCATATTAATAACATTCGCAAATATGGACAGAACTGGTCGCCGATTAAAAAAGGTAAGCTCACTCCATACGACCATAAATGACATGATTGTAGTCAAAACACATAGAATTTTTAAAAACGGTGATTTATATAAACACTCCCAATACCAGTGTAGTGTTGGGCTATAAATGGCAGTACCAAGCTGAGTTCGCTTTGGTGGGAATTCAGCTTTAAATCGCCGGTCTGCTGAGTGCATATTACGCGATACATCTTCCAAATGCAAAACTCTCTGCACTTGCACGCTCCAAAGGGATTCGCTTCGTTGTAATGTCTGTAAGGATTTTATCACTTGTTTATGTATACGCACTAAAGCCCTTTCTGAAGGAACAATCGTTGAGGTGCCACCATTTCCTCCTGCTCGGGTATAGTTGCGTACCGCGCGTTCCAACAGTTCAGTTGGCACTTTACGCAGTATAGTTTCTACACAGGGACGTAATTCGTGATTATTAGGAACGGCGCGGCTTATGCCCTGTAGTGACTCTAGCACATCATCTACAATCTCCTCAGCCTCCGCCTTATCTGTGCTGAGTTTAGCTGCTTTGAAATAAGCATATTCTAAGGTAAAGCCCGGCTTGGCGTTGTTCCACAGTGAACGTGGCACTTCAACAAGCGCGTAACCTAAAAATATATAATGAAAAATTAGTCTACAATGTATGTAAATACATACATATGTACATAGACAATTGATTTGTACGATAAGTGTCACCGGAAAAGAATCCACATATGGGGCTAAAAGCCTCAAGGAAAGCCAAAAAAGGAACTACATTGCAAAACTACGGGTCTAACCTTTTTATTTCTCTATTTCGAAATTTAATTTTTAATTTTCATGCATAGAGGTCTGATTATGCATACTTCGCATAACTTCGCACAACCAGTGCAATAAAAATTTAACTTTAGAATATTTGATGCAAAATCTAAACTCAACAGATAGCTAAGTTTTTTAAAGTTCTGCTAATTTCTGGGTAACGGAATACATACAAAGTACAAAGTTATGCGAAGTATACATAATCAAACCATAACAGCATATCGTTCTTGAGATTTTGGAACGATCTAACTGATCAATATGTTCTTGTATTGCAAACCAGCACATTTTTGTGTTCTTGTATACAAAAAACTTCCAAAGTAGAGAAAATTGAGAGTAAATGACATTTTGTTTTGAGGGGAAGCTGCAAATTTATGCTGGAAGAATTGGTAAGTCGATGTTTACACACGGAAACTTTTGTTGCGGCAGCTCGAAGCTTGTAGGGGAGAGAGCGACGAGGAAAGGGGACGGGCCCATGAACCAACTAATAAGATCACGCAATCGGAAAAGAATGAAAAAAAGTAAATTTCTGAGCGTTTTGGACATCTGCCTAAGAATGAAAACAAACAAAGAAAACGAAAAACGCGCGGTGATTGAGTGCGATTAAATTGGTATTTATCATGAAACAAAAAAAGAAGGTAGTTCAATTGTCACTTTTTCGTCGCCATATTAACAACCTGACAACAACCTAATTGTGACATTTCTTGCTCCCATATCCAATATCTAAAGTCCTTCAAACTTTATTATTAATTTTTTGTTTATTTAAAGCATTTTGTTCTTTTAATCGAAATTTGAACAAGCAAACGGTCTTTTGTTGGGTATGGTTCGGTTATTTGTCCAATGATTTTGGGTTATTGTGTCCACACGCGTATGCCAAAAAAAAAAATGTGAACATACGTCTGCGATAAAAGGATTAAAATTTGATTTAAAATGAAGATTTAAAATGTTCGAACACTAAATTGTTAACAAACTCGGTGTGAAATATGCACTTCTTTGTAAAAAATACCGTGTAGCCGGAGTTGGGCAGATTAGAAGTGCTACGTAATATATACTACTTTCGCAAATTTAGCTTATCATAATATACCGTTTGTTACTATTTATATGCAAAATTTGATATGAAAGAGTACCAAATTTCGTACTACTTCGCAAAGCGTGCTTCTTTTCTTCCCGTTTCTCTCGTTCTTCCATATTACAACCTTTTGTAAGGGAGCCGTCGACATGAGCTGTCACTACATACAACACCTTGTATAATTCCACCATGATAAATTAATTTCAAAATAAAAAAATTTTGATTTCAGATCAAAAAATAATTGTTTTAGGAATTAAAGAACAAAAAGAAAAAAAAATTTATTTTGGAACGAATTTCCGTCATCCCTTGTCAAGTTTGGTTTGCAGACAAACCGGTTTCGGCGTTGTGCCATCTTCAGTGTCATTTTTCGTTCTGTCTGGTTCGAGATTTGTCCCTAATTTATGTTCATTTATCTTAGGTAATGTGATTTTCGTCGATGATTAATTACTAGATATGCCATGGTGCCCATTTTTTTGAAGCAGGTAATAGGTTCATCTTCGCTGTTTCGATATTAACATGCATTATGTTGTCGCTGTATGGTTTTTGCCTGCAGGTAGGTAAAAGTCAGTGATTTTTGCCCTGGTGGTGCTTTTTGGTGTGTTCGGAGTGTGAAGCAGGTAATAGGTTCATCTTCGCTGTTTCGATATTAACATGCATTATGTTGTCGCTGTATGGTTTTTGCCTGCAGGTAGGTAAAAGTCAGTGATTTTTGCCCTGGTGGTGCTTTTTGGTGTGTTCGGAGTGTCCATGCTTGTTGTTTTGTTGTCATTTTTCTTTTTTTTCGTAAATCAATTTTAAG